TTTCAAAAATATCTACAAAAGTTATGCAAGGCTTCCTTCCTTCTACACTTTTTTTTTCAATTTACTCAAATAAAGGTCACTGCAACAGTATCTGTTACAGATGTGGGTAACTAATTTGGATCTGAACCTTAGTTCTTCCACTGGATTACTTCCACTGGACATTCTTCCACTGGATTACCAATTCCAAAAATATGCACCTTATGCTCCTCCATCTTCATCTTCTGTTCCTCATCCTGTCACTATCATAGCGTCTCAGTGTATGTAACCAAACTCTAATCACTCATTATCCCATAGACCGTTTTTCATACCTCAACGAAACGCTTCCAAACATCAAATTGAACCAAACTGCCCTTTTTGGCCCAGGGGTTCAGGTTTAGCATGAGAAAGTGTAACCATGCTGCCTACCAAAGCGTAGTCTATGAGATCATGAGAGAAATTTAATTGCTATGGGTTAATGCTCAGGATGACCCCTTGTTATGGATTAAAGGAGATGAATGCAGCACCTCTTGCCATCAACGTTTGCCTCAGACAGCTCTCAATCTACAGCTAATCCACTTAGCCTCTCTGCCAGGGTTTGGCCATTTTTTTTTATTTCATTACGCAGAACTATTTCGGCGTCTAAGAAGTGGCAGACTGATGGGACCGCTGGTAAATGGAGAGCGGTCAGGATACTTCCGTCAGCCGGGGGACGTCGGTCACAGGGTCCTGATTATGAAAGATATTCATGGCTATAAATCATGGGCCAATACACATACATCCATAGTGCTGATAGGCCTTTTGGTAGAAGGAAATCCATGGCAGAAGCCAATTGCTACATTGTCTCAGGCAATACAGGCAGGTGCTCAGCGAACACTCAAGAGTTAAATATTAATATTGTACAACGGATTGTGATTTAATGTAGTCTAATACAATCTAGCAGGGTAACCCTGTTACAAAAGCATTATAATACAGAGAATTAATCAAATCAAAAGGTGCAATTTATTAGCAAAATGTGTCAAATCTAGAGTGTAAAGAATAAAATCAACAATATATCTTAATATTCAGCAGGATACTTCAGGCAGAATGCAATAGCAGCCAGAATGAACTGCCCCCCATTACGACCTAGCAGTGCCTATGCGGGGGCGGGGGGATCTGTTTCAAAGTGTTTGGCAAACTGCTTTTCAACAATTATTTTAAAGAGTCATTAGATGTCATTGTGAAGCGTCATGATGAAAAGGTAAGTCTCAGTTAAGAGAGCTCACTAATACGCTTGCTAATAAACCGAAGCACTAAATTCTACCGAGATGAGCTGCAGTGACAATGAACAGAGGGAATGGAATATACTGTGGCCAAATCTGAATATCTGGATTTATACGAATAATGAGCCCCCCCAAACATTAATGTCCTCTATATTTCCATTTGTATCAGCAACCTGCACAGTCAGAGAGAGAGAGAGAGAGAGAGAGAGAGAGAGAGAGAGAGAGAAGTTGGGTAGCTGTTTATCTAGCCTGCCTCTGTCTCATGTTTACTCCCAATTAGGGACAAAAGGGCAGCGCTATCTCAGGTATCTGCCTCCAGCAGGACCTTTCCAGGCATGCAGTCATCGCTACTCGAGAGAGGAAGCGAGATCATATCCTGGACGCACCGCTAGTACAGAAAGCGGCTCCATTGCACATGTTCTCGCTCGGTTCTGCTCCATCTGACCTCTAATAGCTCGTTGACGTGAGACCGAGGTCGGCGAGCGAATTCAGCATATCGACGGAGTTAAATTTACCCCATTCGCTTTCACCTTCACTCCCCCGCAGGCTATCGGGTTCTGTATTTATTGATAAAACAGCAGTATTTGTGGAACATCTGACCCCTGGCCACCTGTGCCAGCTGTTTCCTGGACCAGTATTTTGATGACGCAGCCCCCAGATACCGGCAAGCGGATTGAGGAGATATCGCAACGAGGGGGGAAAGCAGTCTGATAGATCCTGCACTCCCTGACGTCCACCTGCCGTCTGGAGTTTCCCTGACACTCGTGTCCCAGAGTGGCTTTATCGTTAAAGGGCATTCCATCACGTTACACAGGAATGGAGGACGTCCATGAGAACACTCCATGCAACATCAGAACCTGCATGCTGCCCGTGCGGGTCTGCATGTCAGCGACCTCACTCTGAGCTGGCTCTCTGCTATCTGTGAAAAATAGCTCCTTCCAAAACTTGTCCAGGAGAATCCAGGAGTCCCGCAGAGCCCTATTTTTGGTCCCGTACATCTTTCTCAGTGCTGCTGCTTACTAAGGACTGTTATAAATGCACTTAGTCTCAACATTATTATACTGATGCCTCACATACCTCTTCTATTTATACCTGCTGACTTACAGCAGAGCTCCTCTCCTGCATTTCAGCTCGTGTCTTTGTCCACAGGACCACATTGGCTTCCTGAGAAGGAACCTCTTCATATAAAAATGTCATATTGTCGTCGGAGTCTTAGATTTATGCCGAAACATTTTTCGCGGATACATGTGATGAATGTGGTCCAACCTACCATGAACCACACAATGCACCTGATTCAGGCCTTGCTATAATTCTCAGCGACTTTCCCATCGCGGGTCCTCCTACATACCCCATTAGGACATGGCAAGCCTCACGTCTGGTCTTCAAAAGGCCGCGCTCTGCGTTTGCCGAGCTCAGCTCGCCCCTGGCACTCAGTCAGGCTGACTCACACACGCAAGCTGCATTTGAAGGCTCCGCTTCTAGCTTCCGCAAATGGCACTGCTCCTTCACATCTGCCCAGTGCTCCAGGCCTTCACAGAGGCACATCTGACACCGCTGTCCTCTGTCCGCTGCTCTGATCTAAAAATGGCCGCATGGCTGAAAGGTTTGGACACCCTCTGGTGAGCAAAAGCGTACGATCAAGTAATAGTCTGGCACATGCCACAAAAGCGCCACAAAGCAAACATCGCGGGGGCCAATAATTGAATGGCGGCGCCATCAACAAATCAACTCTGTAAATAAGGAAATTAAAAACCTCTCTCAGATTGCTGTCAATGAGGGAGAATTACATCCCACTCAGTTAAGGAAGCCCTTGCTCTTGTTTCTATACTTCATTAAGTTCAATTACAGGTTATTATGGCTATTAAAGGCAGGGGGAAATGGCTCATTGAGGAAGTACGGCAGGCCGTCAATTAGGAGGCCAGATCATATTACCATAGTGATGGGCACGTCCGCTTCGGTGGGGATTCATTTAGCGCGGTACTTTGAGAGGGACAGCAGAGACCACCTCCCATTTTCATTGTTCAGGCCTTCCTGTGACATTTAGCCATTTAAAATACTAAATAAAGTACCCAAACCAATATATAGATGTATATCTATACATCTATAACCATATATATATTCAAATTACTATAAACCAATAAACATCTGTCATCTCCTTCGTAAACAGGTTCACCCCCCCCCCCCAAGAATCCTATTTTCTCCTCTCCATCCAAGAATAAGTATGGATTACAGGATCGTATGGCAGGGGGGGCGGGGGTTTAAGCTCATTCATCGTATTGCAGTTCATATCTGTCTGGGCGCACTCCGGAGCCGAGAGAAGGAAGTTCTCCGGAATGAGACATCAGCAAAAAAAAAAGAAAAAGAAAAGCGCTCCTTCATCTCAGGGCCGGATCAGTGCCGCGTGCCGCACAGGAGCCGGGTGGGGGGAGGAGTCTGCCTCCACCCTCGCGACGCAGCGTTTGCCGGAGCTGTCTCCGGTGCTCTTCTGATCGATACTTACAGGACACTTATTGAGAAACAAAAGGGAAGCAGGACTGGCTCTCTGTGTTTTGCCGAGTCAGCGGGAGCTAAAGGCTACATCAAATGCGGCCCGGCCTCTCCGATGACATCAATTAACATCCCCTTACCGTAAACACTCGCCATTCCAGCACCTCCACAGAGGTCAAAGACAAGTGGGGTACCGCTTAAATGCCGGTGAGCCGCCGACCAAAATAATCACCCCGAGGAGTCAAAGACCTCATGCTAAACACCTAATAGAAATGGCCCCCTCATCCCTCACCGGCAAATGTAAATTTGGCAGCGAAGACTTTTAAAATTCAGGTGCATCTTTCCAAAATGCAGAATGAGACAGTGCTTACTTCAGGTCAGCTGAGAGATTTTTACACTCAAGGTCAGCTCAAGATAAGCAGAGCCGGAAAAAGATGCTGCCGTTTAGAGTTGCATCGACTGATCCAAAAATAATCAGTAAATGTTAAACAGTATGAATGAGGCAGTTTTTATATACAGTGCTGTTGTATCACAACTGCTCTCAAATACCTTCCTGATTTTCTGTATCTGTAATGTATCTGTAATGGTGCAGTGCCATTAAAACATTTTGTTTTTAAATATTTACAAAGGCATCTACCCACAAACAATCTTTCACAAACACGCCCGAACAACGTGATTCCCTTTACTTATGTACAGATTTCTCACAGTTATGTCCAGATGTTGTCCTCCGCACTGGCATAGCACTGGCATTTTCATCCAAAGCGACATATAATTGACAGTGCGAGGTCAGCCACTGTCCTTGGAGCAAGGGCCTTGCTCAAGGGCCCAACAGCAATATTACGCTATTGGCTGCTGATCTGAACCATCCACCTTCCAGTCCCAGGCACAGAGGTCTAACCCACAGAGCCACACACTGCCCTCACAGCTCGCTTTCATTTTCTTGCCTTCGCAGTGTATTCTATCATAGGTCTTACATGTCCTGATTTAGTTGGTAAAATGTTTCTCAAATAAAACTAGGCGACTTTCACATCTGAGAAACTAAGAGAGTCCCTGTTATATATTTTCCCTCCTGTTTAAGGTCAGATACTGTGGTTGCTGTTCTCATGGGCGTAGCTGGAGAAGCTGGGCCCTTGCCACGGCTCCCCCTGAACCTGGTAGGGTCTCCATGCCCCTCCGACACCCCTGGTTATTCCACATTCTGATGGCAATGGCGACCTTCGACCCCTCCCTCATGTGCCCCTCTGCTCGATTTCATGCACCGGGGAGCTCTCCTACCTGGCAGGAACCTCGATGTTGGAGATGGCGTAGAAGTACTTATGGAGGTTCTCCCTCTGCACGTAGGTGCCGCCCAGGGAGGGCCGCAGCAGGCGCAGCCGCAGGCTGGTGAAGGTGAAGAAATCGCGAAGGCCTTTCATGCTCTCCATGCGCGTGTACAGGTTGTCCATGTTTTGCAGACGTGGCCCAGCGAAGATGCTGAAGCGCGTTCGCACCTCGAACAGCACGTTCTTGTCGTTCTTGGAGCCCACCCAGCGTGAGTACTGCTCTGTGCAGATGACCCGCGTCACGTTGGCTGCCGACAGGTCCTGCACCCGCTTGGGCGGCATACCGAAGGCGTCCAGGCAGTCGTCGGCGTAATACTGGTAAGGGTGCCACGTGCGCCCATTGTCCATCGACTTCTCCAGCACCATGACGGTGGGCCGGCCGTACTCAAACGTGATCTGCACGTCATCTGTCAGCTCTAGGCTCTTGTTCCAGGACAGCGAGATGTTAGCCAGCAGAGGTTCGGGGTACCGGCTCCACGTGATGGTCTGCCAGTAGGTGATCAGGCCGAAGGGCTCGCGGTCCTGCATTAGTTGCGGCGGATGTGCCAGATCCGGGTTCGAAGCGTCGCATTCATCGCTGCACAGGTATGGATTCTCCTGCAGACACCAAGGTGGGAGAGACAGCAGATAACACTAACTCATTTATCTGACACTTTTATCCAAATCGATTTACAGTCCAGGGATGGGTTATGATTTACGTATGTTACCTGGGACTTGAACCCCATACCCCATACCCTTCCCTCGACTCAACCCTGTACAGTTAGTGGTGACTCGCTTCAGCCACCAGTCACCAGCACAGCTGACCAGCATTACGGCACTGAACCCCAGCCGAGGTGCAGCCAGCACGGATAATCCCCTGCCAGTGCTGTGCACAGGGTGCCCCTCGCAGCACGTGGAGCGCCAGGCATAGTCAGTCCGCCGTCACGCGCTTCAAAAAGGGCAGCTTTCATTAATGAAACCATAAAAATAAGTTGCCATATGTCTCCTAAAAAAAGGGCAAGGCATTTGTAGACTGATCCTGCCCATTTACTGCTGCGGGGTGGGGGGAGGGGATTCTGCATAATCTAGTAAAAAAAAAAAACTGCAGCAGGCTCCCTGACCTACCTATCCCTACCCACCTTTCACTTGTAAATGCTGCAGCTCTTGGTTAAATAAGTCCCCCCCCCCCCGCTTCAGTGACACTGGAGCATTACTGACCAATGCCTGGCCCCGCCTTCGCACCATCGTGAACCCTTAGGGTGACTTCCCAGAATGCTGCAGTCCTCCCCTCGGTGCGCACGACGGGGCCAGCAGGACCCCGTCACCCCCCCCCCCCCCCCCCC